TTGGTTTGTCTAAAGGGAAACTTCGGGGAATTTGGGGGAGCACTGTAAAATATTTTCTCTTCTTGATTAATAAAATTTTTGTCTTAAAAAGCATTTCACTCCTTCCTAATGTATAGCAAGAAATTTTTCCAATAAAAAAATGGAAATTTGGGGAAACACTTCCTTTTAGAATTAGTTAAACGAAATACCAGATTTTACTAAAAATGTGTAGTACAGTCTTTTGTAAATAAGTCTTTGTTTTGAGCAGTCTCATTTAATGTTAATAAAAAGCAAATTTGCATATTTCCCAGTAAAAACATGTAATATTTGTTCATGTCTTGCAGTTCTCAGACATCTGATGTTTATTCCATGTGGCTCTTACATTAAGCAAGTTTGGCCACCCCTGGTATAATGCCATAGAGTCCACCTTCAAAAGTGGCAATTTTCTCCAGGGGAACCAATCTCTGTTGCCTGAAGATCAGTTCTCATAACGGTGGATCTCCAGGCACCACCTGAAGGTTGGCAACCCTAGTGCTTCAGTACAAAAGTTGGATCAGAGGACCTCCCTCTTTCCAGCCTAGTAATTCCATGTGTCTGTAAAAGGCAAGCACTGCACACCAGATGAGCACAGAGCTCGATCACTGAGAATGAGAACACGGAGACCTACTATATATATATATTGCAATTTGGTAGCACTTTACCCATATTCTCACACACACACACACACACAAGCCAATGATCAGGTTAAAAATCCCATTACAATTTAACCTGGGGTATGAAAATGTTATATTGAAAATGAAATATTGAAATATAATTGAAAATGAAATATAATTGAAAATGTAATTGAAAATGAAATATTGCTTATTAAATATCTTTTTATTAAACATTTTTATTTAATAGAAGGTTGAAGCGGAATTGTCATTCCATGGTTTGAGTACTTCCAGCTTAGACATCTACTTAACTCTGAGTTTGGTTCTAAGGTACGTTTAAAACTTTCAGACTTTGAAAAACTATTAAATAATGATTCTACTCCGATTAAAGGATTAATATCGAATGTGTACCTACTTCTATTAAAATCTAAAAATTCTAAATTTTTAAATTATCAAATAGCTTGGCACAAGGATTTAATGTGTGATCTTAACGAAGACCAATGGATCCAAATTTGGAGTACTCCAACTTACTTATCCCCATGTTTAAACATTCAATTGCAAATATATAAGCTTGTAGCTAGGTGGTATAAGACTCCCCTTCAACTGGCACATTCATCAAATGCAATTTCGCCTACTTGTTGGAAAGATTGTGGAAGCAGAGGGACCTATATACATATATGGTGGTCCTGTCCAGTAATTCAACGGTTTTGGATTCAAATTGCTAAAGAAATTTCGAAAATGGTTAAATTTACAATCCCTATTCTACCCACAATTATTTTATTGAACTTATGGGAAGAGATACAAATTCCTAGATACAAGCAGGATTTAATAGATACTCTATTTACTGCGGCAAAAACCGTGCTAGCTTCTAAGTGGAAGAACAACACGTTGCCCAGTCTACATGGGTGGCGTATTAAATCTTGGGACTATTTTGTTTTTGATAAACTAACAATTGAATGGGAACACCCTCATTCAGAAAATAAGAAACTTTATTTTGTTAAGAAATAGTCACCTTTCATTTTAGCAACTTTAGGGCATACTAACTTTTCAAATTTGAATGTAACAATTTTATCTGACATAAACATGTTTATTTCATATTAGCAATAGAATATTGAAGGTTGTATTTGATGTACCAAGTTTAACTCTTTGTTACAATTTGCTATTCAACGTTTATACAATGTTTATAGACGTTCATGTTTTTATATTGAGGAACAACTTATGTAATTTGTATATGTTATCATCTATGGTAATTTATGTTGTGTTCACTTTTGAAATAAAATTAAAAAAAACATTTTTATTAAACAAAGAGGACATTAATCAAGAACAGTACATTTGTGATACATTACTTTCTCAGATGCTGCTGGTTTGACATATTTATAGCGCTACCATTATCAACAATAAGATAATAAGTTTATCAATCTTACAATTGTAAGAGATCTATAGGATAAACATTTTTGGCACTTTATCATTAGTTATCATACAGTCCAATGATGGGTACCACATGGCCAGAAACAGAGCTTTTTGCCTCGCATTGTCCGATGGAGCATTCTTGTGAGCAATCTTTTCCATCACAAAGAATTGCCAGATTTTGTCATACCAGAGTGTGCGTGTCGGAGGGAGGTTATTTCTCCATCTAATGGCGATAGAGGCTCTGGCAGCTGCCAACAGAAAATCAATTAGTATTTTTTTGGAACTTGGCAGATCACAGTTTTCCCAGAGAGATAGCAACAATAATTCCGGCTTATTCAGAACAATTAAATATTAAATGTCTTCTTGATAAAGGTTTCCCTTGCTCGAAAGCCAGTCGAATCCGACTCTAGGGTTGCGGTGCTCATCTCCGTTTCAAAGCTGAAGAGCCAGCGCTGTCCGAAGACATTTCCGTGGTCATGTGGCCAGCATGACTAAACACCAAGGTGCACGGAACACTGTTACCTTCCCACTGAAGTGATACCTATTTATCTACTTGCAATTTCTTGCTTTCGAACTGCTAAGTTGGCAGGAGCTGGAACTAGAGACAGGAGCTCACTCCGTCATGCGGCACCCTGGGTCTCGAACAGCTGAACTACTGACCTTCCACAGCCTGCAGTTCAGCATCTTAACCACTTGAGCCACCGCAGCTCCTATCTTCTTGATAAGGCATACTTAATTCCCCGTTTAATCATTTCCATAACTAGACCAATATGTTCTGTAAGCAACATCTGCCCCCCATGGCCAATTGCAGTAGAGCATGGTGTTAAATGGTTCTTTTTAGGACATTCTGTTTTTATCCACTGGCTTATACTACAGTCTTTTCAAGAGGTTGTTGTTTCTGTTAGTTTGGTCTAAAGTGAGTGTTCTAAAATTATCTATTTGTTGGCCAGAATTGGGGGTGGGGCGGAAGATTATACTAACTATACTAAATACTCCCCCTTTTAATGTAGACCATGTGTTAGTACTCACTTCAAATTACTGCAGAAGGAATGAGAGAGTGAACATCATACAATATGAGATACTGAAATGACTGTGGATGAAAGCACATTGTTAGATATATACCACACACACACACACACATTTTGCAGCTTACAGGATGCCTGTGAAGGGATTGTAATGCCACACCTCTTCTTGATTCATAGTTGCAAAATGTTCCTTAAGGACTGATTAGGTAAATGGTGATATGAGTGGATGTAATCTGTCTCCATTTCTTAATTACATCCTTATCATCTTCTCTTAGTATTGAATGAGAAATGCAATGTAAATTTTATGTTTTCCATCATCATATTAATAATGTTAATTAATACCTTCTTTAGATGTTTACTGGAGCAAAACAGATGCAACACATATTAAAATTGTGCTGCGCTGCGGATGAGATGCATGTGAGATGTCTAGCAAAGCAAATGAGTCCATGAAACAGATGTGCATTAATGTACAACCCATGCATATGATCTGCACTCCACATAAAGGCTGTTGCTAAAAGTGTAGCCACAGGGCCAGTAACTGTAGTGCATTAGATGCCAACAAATTCCTAACAAAGCAAAATGTTCCCGCCCAGATTGCTCCCAATGTTGTGTCCTCTGTCCTCAAGTAATGTCTGCTCTCACAATGTTTCAGGCAGGAGCTTGCAAAGCCTTGACCCAATCATTTGGTTCACTTCAGTGCTGCTTGATTTATACATGGTTTCACACTACCAACTGAAAAAGAACCCAGAGCGTGAGTTTTAATGTTATATAAACTCCATTCATATTACATTCTGTATGTGAATTCATTCAGTTTTACCATTTCATGGTTATTTATTAATATTGTAATTAGGACTCCAATGTTTAGTTGATCAAAGAACTCTAGATTGACTCATAAAAGTGCCTCCAATAATCAGGCAACAGATATATTTTTTAAAAAATTATATATTCTAATTCAAGAAATCACCACAAATGGGGTTTGCAGAAACCATCTTGGAAGAAGCATTTCTCCATATCCTCACACATGTGAAGGAACACTACCTTTACGATGATGCCTGACACAAGACAGAGATGCATTATTTAAAAACCAGTATGTCTTTTCTTTAGTATTGTTTTATGCAAATATATTCAGATGATATTGGGTAATCAACGAAAATTGTACAGGATAAATTGAGTAACAGTCCTAATTCTAACAAGGAAAATAAGTTATAACTTCTGGTAAGCCCTGGTACATGTGTGAAATAATGCTATATAGTTCTGTGAATTGGAAGTGGAAGGTGTTTGCTGTTTGACTACTGATGGAAACTTAAATCGGGAGCACAAAGTAATTGGGTGTCTGTAGTAAATGTTCTATTTCATTTCCGTATAAAATATTTTGAAAACATGAGAAATATTTGGCAGTCAGGATTCAAAGAACAGGCACAAATGAATAAGATAATTGTTTCCTCAGCAGGAGCTTAGTGAAGATGTTAAAATGAATGGCAGCATCTCTCCCCAGCAGTAGGAAAAGCTGTAGTGGAAACAGCAGACAACGATCTGGTTGAATGCAGAATTCTCTCCACTTGTGCAGTCCTTTCTTTGCATCCAGGCTGTTCAATGTTTAAGAATGAATGAAGATTTTTCTGGATTTTGGCCCAGGCCATTTCCAGTATCTCCAAGGTCCATTTGCCTACATTGTCACCTCTGTTCCCGCAGTAACATTTAATATGCTTCTGTCAACAGTGTGTTTGCCACTTGCACACCATACACTGTAAACGTTTAGAAAGTGTTTCCACAACAGAAACAAGGGCAGTGGGCAGTGGGCAAAAATGAAACAAAATGTACCAGGAAGCATTTTAAAACACATCTTTCAAATTGCCAGGTGTATTCTACCTACCATTGAAATAAATAGCAAAATTCCCATTCTTCTTTGTATCAACAGATGAGGCCTGTAGAGACAATGGAAAAGGAAGTCAACCAGACACTAGTTACTGATTTTGTTATGGTGGGTTTCACAACACATCCAGTCCTGCGCCTGGTCTTCTTTGTGCTGTTCTTGGTCTCATACACTCTCACGCTGACTGGGAACTTGGGTCTCATGGTCCTGATCTACCTTGATTCCAACTTGCACACCCCCATGTACTTCTTTGTGGGCAGCCTCTCCTTCCTGGATATCTGGTACTCCTCAGTGTACACTCCCCGGATCCTGTCTGACTGTGTGTCCAAGAACAAGGTCATGTCTGTTGCGGGTTGTGCAGCACAGTTCTTCTTCTCTGCCGGCTTGGCCTACAGCGAGTGCTTCCTATTGGCTGCCATGGCATATGACCGCTATGTGGCCATCTGCAACCCACTACGCTATGCCATTGCAATGTCCAAGAAACTGTGCATCCAGCTGGTCATTGCTTCTTATGTAGCTGGCTTTGTCGATGCCATTGTACACACAGCCAACACCTTCCGCCTACGCTTCTGTGGGGACAACACTATCGACCATTACTTTTGTGATGTACCACCATTAGTGAAGATGGCCTGTGATGATACTCGCGTCTATGAACTCATCATGACTTCTGTCATGGGTTGCAATGTCTTGGCAACCACTGCTCTCATCCTGGGCTCCTACACTGGGATTGTGGCAGCCGTCCTACACATCCGCTCTGCAGCTGGGAGGCGCAAGGCCTTCTCCACTTGTTCTGCTCATCTGACCTCTGTCACCTTCTTCTATGGATCCATTCTCTTGATGTATTCCCGGCCCAGCTCCCAGCACACTCCAAACTGGGACAAGGCAAATGCCTTGTTCTATACCATCGTCAACCCTCTAGCCAACCCCATGATTTACAGCTTGCGCAACAAAGATGTGAAGGTGGCCTTCAAGAAAGTGATGGCGAAGTTCTTCACTCTAAAGTAAATGGCAGTAATGTTGTGTCTGTCCCAGGGGTCATTTCGTAAAAAAGGGGTGCAGGAGCTCATTAGCATAACTCATTAGCATAACTTGTTTGCATATACCACACCCCCTGACATCACCGGAAGTGTGTCAGAAGGCAACACTCACCACTCAGGCTCCACTGGACTCTTGGATTCCTAGCTATGGGGGGGATGTACACATCTGCCCTCACAGAGGAGGGAGAGCTTGTACCTGAATAAACCTTGGCCTTAAAAGTGCCACCGGACTCTTTTGGATTGCGAGCTATGGGGGAAGGGCTTCTGCAACTTACCTGGCTGCTTCTTGCTCTGACTGAGGGCTGCTGGGAGCAGGGGGTGGGGCTTGTTGCATGTGCCCGCCCCCTGGGCTCTTTACTGCCGGAGCTCTGCTCCTGCGCACTCCTGCAGGAAATGACCCCTGGTCTGTCCACATAATATAGAAATGAGAATGAAATAACATCTTCTTGTGCCATTTCTTGTTGGGTTAACTGGTATGGTTAGTCCAGTACTCACTAGATAGCAGAGTGCTTTAAATAAAGCTATAAATGCAGGAGCGTATTTTCACCAGCTTACAAAGCTGCACAGAGCCACGTTGCAAGTTTAAAACTAGTACTAGTCACTTTATTCTAGAAGTACACTTTAGACAGGAAAGCTTAGAGATAGGATAGAATTCTAGTCTAGCCCAGGAAGGATGGACACAGATGGTGAGAGGCCACCTGTCTTGAGGTGCCCAGACGGGGACAGCACATCCCCTCTCGGTGCGTGCAGAGGGTTCTGGGAGAGGATGGACAGATTGTATTCCCTGAGAATACGATCTGCATATCAAAGGGGACAGTGGCAGAAGAGTAAATGCGGGAAGGAAGCACTGCCATGTAGTCTGGAGGCTGAGGCAGGGGGCAGCATCCAGCCCTTCACTTCCAACATTTCTTACTGCATCCCAAAGGGCCGGGGACCCCATCAGGAGTCCTTCCAAGCGAATGATTTCAGAGCCTCATTAAAGCTTTGCCACCCTTCTGTGTACTCGTGTTTCCTTAGCGCATGCCTCTTCTAGTCCTGATCTTATTTCTTCCTGGCAGCATCTTCAGAATATAAGAAGGAGAAACAGCAGGATGGGAAAAGATAAATGGAATCTCCTGGAGGCATGAGAGAAAAACCGGACCTGGCACAGACTCACCGGGACCTCTAACCTACTCATTTACTCAACCGGCATATAGAAATGGTCAAAGCAGGTTTCCCCATCATGCCCCAAAACATCACAGTACACCACAGGGATGGGAGAAGCTGCAAAAGTGTTCTGTTCAATGCAATGGTTAAGGACACAGGAATCTTCTTAGGGTCCAGACCAGACAACACTAAACACGAGTATAATCCAAGTGTGGCTCTTTCCTCTAAGACAGCGGGCTTAAGTGGGAGCACAATCCAAGTCGTCCCACAGCACCCTTAAGAGACAAACAACGTTTTGTTCCAGGTATAAGCTTTTGTGTGGTTACATGCACACTTCTTCTCTGGGGTGGCTGCTGCATTGCAGCCTGGCTCTCTCAGTCCCCTGGTCTGAGAGATGAAAGACAGCTTCCCTCCCCTCTGTTGGCTGTCTCCCTCCCCCCTCCTTTGGGTCCCCCACGGCACCTTTAAGACCGACAAAGTTTTATTTCAGGCAGCTGAAAACTCCTTCATAATGACACCCAGTTGGCTTCGAGCTTTTCCTTTGTGTTACAGGGCAAAATTAAGGTTCCTGGGCTGGTTGCTGAGGGAAGGAGTTTCTCAGCTTTGGGCTTTCTTGTTTGGCACATTAAACAGCCGTACTCTGGCATGTTAACTCTGGAGTCTGTGAGTGGGCCTTGACCACCACCCCCTATAGAGGAAAGCCTG